TTTAACCCTTAGGATTACCATTTGATATTATAAATTTATAATAATGATATGTTACAATATAATTGATTTTTAGTTCAAGAAGGTATTCATAATATTGCATATGTTTACTTATTTAATAATACATTATAATTATAAACATATAATTATATGCGACATATATTATAATATAGAAAATAATGATTGGTATATTTTTTAATTCAATACACTTATTAAGAAATTATTATTTTCAAATTTAAATTCTAGATAAGAAAACTTTCAACTGTAGATTTGAATAGATAAACCAGTGAATGTTAGTGGATATATTAAATTAGATGTACCAAATATTTTCTTATAATATATTATTACCGTTTATGCAAATTATGCCATATGACTTAACATAGGAGGTGGCAATTGCAACAACTCGAGACCAAGGCCAGGCCATTTTTTAAAAAAATTTTCTGAATGAAGGGAACGATAGGGATGGGAAAAAACTAAAGAAAGAGAGTTTTTTTTTTTTTTTTTCCAAGACAAAGGTAAATAGTTATTGATTTATTGGAATACGAGGAGTATTCCTACCGACAAGTCATAATTTATACATTTCACACCTGTCAAAACAAAAACCCCTACATCTCACAATGCTTGTTTACCCTGTCGATTATTGTAAGTACTTTCTTTGCAGACCGTAGGCATCCTACGGGGTTGGTACTCCACTCCGTAAAAGATATATTCTCCATCCCCAGCAATCCTCTAACCCAGTAGAAAGACTGCTTCTGTACCATAACCCAAGCAAACTATTTTCATTAAGCTCTTTATTTTGGAAACGCTCTCATTCCTTGCAAGCCCTAAGGTCCACAAGACAGAAAACCATATAGCTAATTAACCAGCCTTTTTTAATGAAACTAGGACCCCTTATCAACTTGTGCTGAACAAACACATCTACGCATGACCTGTCCGTAACATAGACTAAACCCCACCATTTAAATCACCTCGTACCATAGACCATAGGCAAAGGTGCAATTCATGATGAACAAATGATCAGCGATCTCTATGCTAGAATTGTTGGAGTAATATGAACATGTTAGCGGAGTTGAGAGTAAAGGGAAGTGAACAAGATCCCACATTGATGAGAGACAAGGTGCTAAAGTGGAAAATATATGTGGGAGGTCAATGAACGTAATAGGCATGTGTTCTCATATGTGTTCGTGCTTTCATACTCATGCACTCTCGAGCAGTCTCGTTAGAATCTCCTAATAACCAGTATCAAAGTTGATGGTTCGATCTTGGTGTGATGGGTTCGGTAGAATATTTGTGAGTGTGGAGAAATAGTTGTGAACCCATGACAGAAATTGAAGATATGATATCTTGGTGGTAGAAGACAAGGGAAGTCTTTAGGTAGACCTGATTTTGATGCTTTCTTCAAATTTTTCAACTTTGAGTGATTTTAATCTTTTGGACTCAAACGAGAAGGGAAATGTCTAAAGGTCAATTTGTAAGATGTATTCAGGACAAGGGATCAAAAAGAAGGAGACGAAGAAGAAGAAAGGAAAAATTCGGCAATATATAGAAGAAGAAAGGGAAATTTTGGCAATTTATTGATGAAGATTTTGTGAACACTTCTAAGGACTGTTTACAAGAGAAGATCGGTGGGAGTTTCCTTTATTTCCTAAACTAGATTACTTGGTGAAGGGGAAGAATCTTTAGATTTTATTTTGTAATCTTTCTTTTTTGTAAAGAGTTAGGGCTTCCATTTGTCCGTGTATATATATATATAGATGTGTGTGTGTGTGAAGAAAAAAAAATAGAGAGAGGGGCGGAGAACAAAGAAAAGCTTGTATTGGGGGGATCTTTTTTTAAATAAAATTCATACATGCTCTTAAAGGTTTGTCTCCATGAATTATTTTTATTTTATTTTATTTTGTGCTTTTTACTTTCTTTCTTCCTTTTCATTCGCCTGAGCATCTTGGTCTTTTGTGGTTTTTTTTTTTTTTTTTATTTGTTCTTAGTCTTAAACACGTCGGTTTAGCTCTTTGTTCCACTCACATTATTAAGCCTATTGTTTATCTCCATTGTTCCATAAAAGGTTCTTAGGAATTTTTTGTTTGTTTCCTTTCTTTCTATCTCAACTCTTCAGAGTTTGCTTAATAATTGTTTTATAAAATTTAATAGTGTTAGGTCTTAAAAAATAAAAAGAGTAAACGATTATAATAAAATAATTTTTTTTCTTGATTAAAGTACTATCTTTCCTCTTATTCTCATTATTCTTGTAATAAAGGATAGTAAATTTCTATGCAAACCATAGATAATCTATCTCATCTCATCGTATTTGGGTAGATGACAACTTTATTTTCAGCACACCAACAAATTTGAAGTTGTTCGGTAGACAAATGATTGAATCTGAACCAAATCCCACATCAATGAGAAATAAGGTATTAAAGTGAAATATATATGTAGAAGACCTATAAACCTCATAAACATGTTTTTTGGATTCAATGTGGTGCCTCCTTGTATATGTTCGTCCTCTCGCACTTGTACACCCGAGCCAACCTATTAGACTCTCTTAACAAGAATTCCACCAGCAGCAATTCAAGGCTCTATTATTATGCATGATCCCTCTCCTTACCATATTATCCTTTCTAGGGAGGAAAATGATGTGTGCACACCCGGGTCAACACCC